ATTTTCTGCCAATCTTTTCTCATACATCCTTTTTGATGTCCTAATTTCCTGTTTCACCAACTTTCTTGATCTTCTATAATCTTATAAAGCTTCTGTCATACCAGTAAATATAAATTTCTTAAATTAATTTTATCTCTTATATTCTTTATGAGCCACTATGGTTTTTTACTTGCAGCTACCTTTTTCTTTCTATAAGGATTATTTTACCATAAATATTTAAAAGTTTCCACATTTGACCAGTGTCTCCAAATAACTCAGCTTCCAAATTCACAACAGATAATTCTTGTCGCATTCCTTCCAAATTTGCTTTTTTGAAATTTCTTACCTAAATATCATTATTCCTTATCTCCACGAGCAGCAAAACATTGAACCTAATAGAGCAATGATCACTTGCACCCAGATATTCCCCAATTTCCATTCCCTCAATCATTTCTATATTTAAAGTTAATAATAAATCTAAAATAGCATTATTTCTAGTAGGTTCCTTGACTAACTGGTGAAGAAAGTCATTTTGAAGAGTTTCCAAAACCTTTCTCCCTCATGGTTTGAATCTAGCATTTCCCAATCTATATGCCTGAAATTAAATCACACATAGTTATAACTTCTTTAATAGCTGAAATCTTAATCCCATTCTAAAGTTTCTCACTAATTTCATCAGCATCGTTTAATGGTCTGTAACAAATTCCCACTAAAAATCTTTTCCCTAGATATCCACAAATAGATATCCAAAGGGATTCAATCTCCTTGTTATTATCTTTCATATCCTCAACTTCAACAAGATGTAACTTGCATTTTACATTTTATGTATAAAGCCACTCCCTCCTCTCTTTAATACTACCTTTATTACTACTTCTATACTAATTTCCTATGCTAAACTATTCTTTGCCTCTTGTTCTTTGTGTATTTAGTTTATCTTCGCCCTCACCACTATCTAGTCCTAGTTTAATCCAATACTACTTTTAGCCCTAATAGTACTCTTTCTGACTTCCTGAAAGTCATTATTAACTGAAGTATTCCTTGTATGTAAAAGCTTAAGTTCCTCTTGAAATTCTGCTGCCATTTCCCACATTCCACACTTCTCTTTATCTATTGCCTCTACATTAATTATGATAGCCTCCAACTTCTCTTCCAACCTACAAACTATACATTCAAATTGTACATCTTCATTACTAGCTTCCTTAAAAGTACAGAGTTCCCAAATAAAACCAACTCATTGCACCCATTACACCGAACTGTGAACGCTTAATTCCTACACTAGACTTAGCCATTGTATTTATACTTATAACCTGAAAATAAATACTCAATATCAAATGCCAGTAGCCTATTGTTGTCAACACTGTTACTGTTAAGCCTAATGTTTAAGAACCAATTATATTAGTTTTTAGCACTAGTTTGTTTTCACGCTAAAGTAATAAAGTTTATCTTTAATTATATAGAACTTAGAAACAGAACTGTATTAGAAGTGACAATAACTAGTCTTTGATGTATACCTGATGTTAATAATACACTGTATTTAGCCTGATTTATATTGTTACGTGTCTGCTTGTTTGATAATTTCCCGTAAAAATTCTTCACGAGGAACTTCAGCGACACAAGTCCTTTCTTAAATAAAACTAGTTT